TGGGTCGAAGCCCCCTATAGAAAAAAAAAAAAAAAAAAAAAAAAAAAAAATTAAAAAAAAACAACAACACTCATGTAGGTGGGGATTTATGAAGATTTGTCATAGAAATAGCCCCAATGTCACAGCGAGCTGTGACCGCTCAGAACTGACTCTTGTTCCCCCATGGATCACAAACCCAGAGCCTTCGGCAGTGTAGTGATTATCTGGCCAGGAGTGGGTGCCCTAACAGGAAAGGGCAGTACCCCTTCCCTCAGCCAGCTGCCCCCACGGGGAGGAGGTGGAAGAGGAGCTACCTGTCTGTGGGTTCCCCTGCTGGAGGTTTAGAGGGGGAAGCTGGGAGTTTGGGCTCGGGGTGCAGACTGAGAGGCATGCAGGACATCTCTTAGGGACTCTGTACCAGGCAGCAGAGAACGGGTGGCCTGAATGCTCTCAGAGGATACCCAGCTCCAGGCTGAGGCCCAGATCTGTCTTTTGCTCTGTAACAAAGCACCACAGAACTTCAGAGGCTGAAAGCAGTGACTTTTCACCATGCTGGGGGTTGACTGTTCGCCCTCCCGCTGGCCTGGCCTGGGCTGGCTCATGCGCTTTCATCCGTGTGGGGCCGTGGCCCGGAGGGATGGTCTGCCAGGGCCCCATCCCCAGGCCAGTTGCTGCCAGAGGCAGGGCTGTGCTCCCCACTGGTCACCCTCCTGGGCTTTCTCCTGCATGGTGGTCTCAGGGACCCCAGAGGCCTAGAGCAGGACCTGTGAGGTCACTTCAGGTCCAGCCTCAGGAACTCCCACACTGTCCCCTCTGCCACAGTCTGTTGGTCTAAGCAACGTCACGGGGCCAGCCAAGGTTGCAGGGATGGGGTCACCTCTGGATGGGAGGAGCAGGAAGGTAACATTGCAAAGGGGCCTGGACACCATGACAGTCACTAGGGCTGGGAGTCCATCACCAGCCCTCCCAGGATGGCCAGTACAGGGCTGCGTGTTGCACACGTGCACCCATGAATTCACTGGAGGCCTTGCTGACGCGTCGGTCACCTCTCCCCTATATGCAGGTGGGGATGTTTAAGATCCACCCCGAGATTCCAGAAGCCCTTTCAGCTGAAGCCAGAGCCTTCATTTTATCGTGTTTTGAGCCTGACCCGAACAAACGTGTCACCGCCGCTGACCTACTCAAAGAGAGTTTCTTAAGACAGGTGAACAAGGGCAAGAAGAACCGAATCGCTTTCAAACCCTCAGGTGAGGCCTGCCTGGACAGCCAGGGCACCGCTCTGGCAATGCAAATGCCTGGGCCCTGGGCTTCCCTGTTGCATCCCACATCATGGCCGGTTTTTGCAAAGATTGGCAGGGATCACACAGTAGGTTTATGGGTTGTCAAAATGTCATCAATAAATGTCCCTTGATTTCTTGTCAGTGGCAAAGGAGCTTCTTGGATGACGAGGATCCTCTCCCCTCCTCATTAGCCTGGGATTTCTGGGAGGGAAGTGAGGGGTACCCTGTGCTGCCCTGACCTGGATGGAAGGGTGTGTCAGGGAGGTCTTCCTGAGGTGGCTGTCCTACAGCCGTGGAAGCCCAGTAGCCCCAGAAAAGGCGCTGCTGTCCTTTCTGGCTGAATGACTGAGGGAGAGCCTTGCTCCCTGGGGAAGTGTGGCCCTTACTACCTGCACCTCATGAGCAGGTGGGGCGCCATTCGGGCACCCTGGCACAGCCGCAG